AAAATAAAAAAAATCCCACTGGGCATATTTTATATGTTTGCTACATTCGCTTCCGTAAAACTCCTGTAATTTGTATGGGCCAAACCTCATTATATGAATAATCACGACAACAAATTGCAAGGTTGTCAAGTTGCCAGATCTTGTATGAAACGCATCTTTCTCACACAATCGATGCAGACAAATTTCAACCCATTTGTCCCCTCAACTTGGCAACCTACAGCCCAGTGATGCTAATGATATGTGCGCAGGTAGTACCGTGGGAAGGAAACAATGATCACTGGTAAAAATGGGAGAAGACTCAGGTGGTGCTCCAGTGAAAAAACGAAATATACATGTAAATTGAGATATAGCTTACATTTCAAAAGACTATTTAATTGATTAAATATGAGCGCTGCAAGTTTCAAAGTCAGGTGCTGCGCTGCTTTGTTTACTGAGGTTACAGGGGGAAACGGCTATATTCCTGGCGAAAAGCGCCACCTGCTGGCAGATAATTAATTAGCATTATTTTCAATAAGCCTTTCTGCGCTTTGTTTAGACCAAAGCCAAAAAACGACCCTTATTTTTTACGCATAAAACACGCAGTTATAAATTTGACAAGAAGATAATGAATTATAAAACTCTAAAGATATAGCCTACACAAAGATACATTTATGTTACTAAATGAATATAATTGTTTGATAATAATTGTTTAAATTAATATAAAAATAATATAATATAATATAAAAATTGTTACTTTTGACTCCGCCCCCCTTTCCCGTATTTTGGTACCCAAATGTTGTCAGGTATAGCACAGAGGAATGACATTGTTGAAATAACTTTCAAAACCATTTTTTCCAGCTAATGAATGATAAAAACTTTGACAGCCAATCAGAGAGCTTTAAAGAGCTTTAGCAGTTAAAGCAGCAGACGACATAACTGCAGCTTATATTAAATAGACAGTTATTGAGGCTAGGTAATATTATTATCATTATAGCTATCATTCTTGGTGTGAACGAGTCTTAACAGTTGTTTAGTCAGCCCTCTGTATTGGAATGTCACGATTTCCCAGCATGCACTACACTGGTATATAATGTTGGATAAATTAAATATTACCAATTTCAATACATTGCAAGTATATCATTTAAAGTGTCACATATATTGACACATTGTTCTAATCTATCAATCAAAAGGAAGTCAAATTGACAGTTAAATTGACAAATTACAGTATTTATAAAGGCGTATTATATATTGTAAGAATCTTATACTTTCATTAATCACTGCTTTCCCCACAATACTAGTCATTGTACAGTTTCATTGTTTTTAATTATTTTTGAGAGGAATGTATTTGTTATTTTCTATTAGAAAGTAAAGTATAGATTTTAGATAATTAGATTATGTTCTAATTTAACATCTCATAAGTTAATACTGTTCGTGCTAAAGTTTTCAGAGTTTATTTCTATTTTCTATAAGTCATCTATCTTGAACCCTCTTGTGGAATTCCTCAATCAATACTCTGCTGCTTTTGAACCAAAGTCTGTGGGTACCGTCCATGATTATGAGATTTAATGACTTTACCGAGGAATCTGCTCTGTATTTCCCAGCAGTGTGCCACGAAAGCAAACAGACAAACATCTGTGACCTACAGGCCCTGGTTAAAAGGCTTCTTTGACCTCGCTTAACCTTTGATGTCTGATTTGACCCCCAGCTTGCTGTGTTGTTTGTCTACTCTCCCTAAATGCAACTTACTTTACGCATGCGTCAACATCTTGCAGTAAAAAAAACTTAACCCATTTTCAGCCAATTTTCCTCTCTCTTTGACATACATCCAGACTGCACGCCTGTTACATGTTTAAGACTAACAATGACAGATATATTTGTCTTTGGGTCACATGACAGAGGAAGCAGTTGTCTGTTAAACTGCCCCTCTCGATTGTGTCTGTTTTATAGTTTGTGCATCTGGTTGTAGTGTGTGAAAATTAGAATTGCTTTGTTCTTTCGTCTCTGGGAATTTTGTCTTTTTAGTTTACACACTCAAATCAATTTCATTTTTTGTTGGTTACCATTTTTTGACTAGCTGAATTTTTGGGTTCAAAATTAGTGGTGAAATTTGAACTAGATGTGAATATCAAATCACAATTATCATTAATTTGATAAGGTGTTTTGATTTTTGGTCTTCTTTTTTAGATTTGGAACTAATTCAATGAAAATCCCATGTGCTTACAGTGATAAATCATCAAAATCATTTTCAAATCACATCAAGAACAAAATTGCACTGCCTCAAATGCAAAAACAACCCAATTTGATTTTTAAAAATTATATAATTTAAAAAGAAATAAATAAAAAAGGCACATGATGGTCAATGAAAAGGTTCCAGATCTTGATACACTTCTTGTTTTTTCAAATTTTGAGAGTTGATCTTGATGAACAATTGACGTTTTAAGAATGTTTCCAAACTGCATGGCGAAGAAGTTGCAGTTTAGGGTTTGTCAGATTGTCAGTGTTAGAGTTTTGTTCTTTTTCGTAGATGGGCATGTATATGCTCATTGTTTGTATATCCCCATCCCTTCCTTACAGCCAAAAACGTTAATGCTGCCCGACCGCTTCGTACTGCCTATACATGGACATGGCAACTGACTTACACAATCACCCCCATCATTATCATCTCCTATGTAGTATGTTCATAGGTCCAATTCCCTTGTCACAACCCCTCCCCCTTCCTCCCCCCCTCTAGCTATGGTAAAATATGTACAGTCATCCATTCACTCAAACCTAAAGATTAAAACCAATCTAAGCAAAAAGTTTAATTACTAGAATGTAGATATTTATTTAACAACAACAAAATGCTATGTAAATCAAAGGCTCAAATATGTACAGTTTTTGTAAGAAAACTGGATTATATATCAAAGTAACAACAAAAGAGAATAATGGTGAAGTTTATTTTTCATGTTATGTGGTGTGGATGTATGTGTTGTTGCCTCCCTGTACTCTCTCATGTGGGAAACAAAAATATATATCTAACCAGAAACACGATGACAGTCATTTTGTTTTCACAAAGAAAAAACCTGTCCAAGAACATTCTTACACAACTTTCTTTTGTACGTTTTTTTTTCTTCATGCCAAAATCATGCGGGCAATTTGTTGATGTAAGTTGACAAAAAATTATGATATGCTTATGTGTTTATGTTTATAATATATATGCCGTTTATGCTTGTTTAAATTCTTAATATTATGAGATCAAGAAGTTCTGATCTCGATTTGCTAAATTATACTGCTGATGTTTATATTGCCTGTTTGTCAGTACTGTATTGTGTGCTATGACTAGTTATTAAGAACTTATGGTATTGGCTTTGGTTTAGTTTTGTTGTTATTAAAGTCTGCCTCTTTAAGTTCTTTTGATTTTGAATTTAATTTTTATGCAAGTCTTACTACAAACCTGATGGCAGTTTTATCTTTCATTTGCAATGACAGTCTGAATACCTAGCAGGTGGAAAGCAGAAACAAACCTTCAAAGTCCATGAAATGGAACTTTTTGTTTTTGTTGCATGGCAGATGCACCAAATAGTTTTTCTTCTAGTATTAGTATAACTCCTTTCTTTCTGAATAGCAACACGTTACAACTACACAAAGAACTGACCATCTTACTGCTACTGTACTTGTAGCATTTTAACATACAGAAAGCAGCATTCATTAAATTCCTTATTACTTAGATTTAGTTATTACTTATTACGTATTAGATTTAGCGATTGCTTATTAGTTAGATTAAAGCCTTGCCCTTCGGAAATCAAGCATATTCAATAGATAATTAGAGAAATCATTCAGCTGTCATTGTATTATGGAGACAGTAGCTGCCATTAGGAGGTCATTCAAAAGGCAAGAGTCAGTGCACTGCTGGGGAGCCACATCTTCCATCACACACGTGTTTATACATAGAGAGAGATGTTTTTCTACAAAAATATGCAAGCTGTTGACATTGTTTCACTTCTAATAAAACAGATGAAACCGTCATAAGGTGAGACTTCACCTCGTAGCTTATATAATGATTTTCTTATACGTACTGTTCTTATGTTATTTCTTCAGCATTTATTTTTAGGTCATGAGACTTCATGGCAATAGGAAATTATTTATACCTTTTTAATTATGCAAAATACTATTTAAAATCAATATTTTTACAATAAGGATGCAATTCAGTAAGTTACAGCATTTATTAGTCTTGATTCATGTTCATTTGTATATTGTTTATTACTAGTTCATGTTGAAATGCATGCGCTAATCCTAACAAACGCAACTTTTGTGTTAAAAAGTTTCAAATGTTTTAGTAGAAATTAACATTATATGTGATTTATATTAGTATTGTTAGCTAGGGCTGTGATAATAAATCGATGCATCGTGATTCGTGGATCGATTCTGAGATTTTCCGAATGCATCGCGATTCTTTCTGAAATCGATTCTGAGCTTAGTTTTTAACCACACACTCAAATGCTCATGAAGAAGAGCGCTTGTGCACTTTATGACGCGAGATTAATGTAAACACAGCCCACTGTGAACACCCTTGTAATTCGCTACAACTTTTTCGAACTTCATGAATGATTATTTTAGGTTCAAGTATAAGGAATTGTAAGCAAGCAGAGTATGACTGTTTCTAAAGCATGCAGTGCCATTTGCTGTTAAAAACTAAGCTCGAATCGATTAGAGAGAAAATCACGATGCATTCAGAAAATCTCAGAATCGATGCAGAATCATTTCTCAATTCGCCATGCGTCGATTTATTTTCCCAGCCCTATTGTTAGCCCATGTTAATTATTCACGCGCAACTTCAGATAGCTCGCAAACCAGCTCACCCACAAAGACTTGTCAAGTCCTTTTGATGCCAACTTATAGTCATTTATGTTCGATATTGTTTTGCTTTTGTCTTTTATTTTTGTTTAGTTTTTTTGTTTTTTTGTACGTTTTGCCTTGTATCCGTTAGTGTTTTTTAACCAGTTTTCGAGACTAACTTGCCTCGTGTCTGTGTTCAATTATAGGAGGCGAATTAGTTTTCCCAATACTTGTAAAGGATCCCTTAGAGCTCCCCTCTGTAGCAACTCGTACACCCTCCATCCCCTTTCCCCCAACCCTCCGCCCCCACCTCACCATTATTGAGACCACCAAAGAGTCCCTGTCCATGGCCACTGAGGCGGGGGTACCTTGCTTGTCGGACCGAGGCAGCGATGATTGTGATGATGATGATGGCTTGATGATATCTGGGTATGGCTCTGGGGAAGCATACGACTCTAACCTGCCCCCTACTGATGATGAAGATTTTTACACCACCTTCTCCTTGGTAACAGATAAGACCTTGTCTTCGTCGACCTTTGAAGGTGGCTACAAAGCTCACGCGCCTAAGTGGGGATCCAAGGACTTTAGACCTAACAAAGTCTCCGATTCTGGTAGGACTACTACCACGTCTTTTTCCCCCAAGCTGAGCCGCTCCACAACCACGTCCACGCCACCCAAACTGCCCGCGGGCAAAATGAATCACAGGGAGCTAAAGCCCCAGCCCGACATAGTCTTGCTTCCATTGCCCACTTCCTATGAGGTAGGCAACACAAAGCTGAAGAGCCCATTAATAACCTCCCCCATGTTCCGTAATGTACCCACAGCAATCCCCACGGAGCCGGGCATCAGGCGGGTTCCGGGGGCCTCCGAGGTGGTCCGTGAATCTAGCAGCACCACCGGAATGGTCGTCGGGATAGTTGCCGCTGCCGCTTTGTGCATCCTAATTCTGCTGTACGCCATGTATAAGTACAGAAACAGGGACGAGGGATCCTACCAAGTGGATGAGACCAGGAATTACATAACCAACTCGGCGCAGAGCAATGGAGCAGTCATGAAGGACAAGCAGCAGAGTGTGAAAAGCGGCAACAAGAAACAGAAAAACAAGGACAAGGAGTACTACGTGTGAGAATGTTGCTCATCGCTTTGACAGAACTTTGAGCTGTTGGGCGCTGCGCCGAGAGAAGACGACAGGAGTCAAACCCCGGCGCCGCGCTGAGAAGGCGAACTCTGATGCGAACTGTACCATAAAGCACACTTACAACCGTAAGCATACCGCAAAGGTAAAATAGCAAACATTAGTGACCTTATTCCTCTATCTGGTCGGAGACATTATCAGTGTAGAATATTCCACAGCTACATCATAATCCTAAAGTGACTTTTAGAGGTATGTGAACCTTGGCGTAAATCTCGTTTTTCTTTTCTTTTGTAACTGTAAAAAAAAAAAGAAAAAAAAAAAGAGGAGAACGTTTCAAGCATGTAAGAGACACATAGTGCTGACGTCCGTAACGAAAGTGGGACCCAAAAAATGTTGTTCACGCGAAAAAAGGACTCCTGCCAACAAAATAAATAAATGAATAAATATATATATAAATATATATATAAATTCTATATATGAGAAATTTGTATTGTTTATATACATTACATGTGGTGTCTTATCATTTTTTGCTCTCTGCAAAAAGAAGAAAAACACGATGTAATAAACGAAGACCGGTCACCGAGGCTCTGACAGCACAGCACTGTTATGATTTCCAGCCGAAACTGATCATTCTAATTGTACAACCAACTGTAATATTGCAAATGTGTGAGTTTCCAGAAAGACAGTGACGTTTCCTTGTCTCAGTAAAGCGACTGATTGTAGTGCATGCCATGCCATCCTTCGCTTCGATCACATCCGCCCACCGGGCCGATCCGATCATCAGATAGACCTCTCGTCCCTCAAAGCGACTTGACAAGGGAACGGGCCGCAGATTGGAACTTTTTCAACCGTATGTATGTTGGTCCATTTGCTCTCTCTTTTTTATACAGCTGTCTGGTGCAGACTGGCACAGTGCTATGATACTGTTAAAGGATGTCTATACGAAAATAAATCTAATGTGAAGAGTGTGAAAAAAAAATCTATCTGTTGTCACAGTCGACTGTGTCGAAGGAGAAATTTGTTTACATATTTTATTACATGATAGCGGTTGTACTTTTTAGGTAGATGATGTACATACGAACCTAAGTTGTATTTTTTTTAGTAATTCTATTGTACAGAGAGAACATTTAATTGATTTATTCAGTGTGTTTCATGCCGAAAAATCCGACAATGTTGACTCATGTGAAGGACGAAAAATATATATACAGTACACACACGTTTTTGTAAGGACAAGCAGAGCATATTGTTAGATTAGAGGTCTAATCTTTCTCGCAGATGTTTCTAAGTCTAAGCATGGATATTTGACTACTTGAAGCCGTCGATGAAATACAAGACACACTTCTTCATTGTACCAAGGTTTCCTTGTTATCAGTTGTTTTATTTATTGAAGAATCAAAGAAATATGTAATAAAAAATACTAATATGGATACGGACATGCAGCTCAGATAATTTACGCTGTGTGTTTCTTACCTTAATGTCTTAATACAAGTGGCCTGGACTGCAAGTAAGCCCTGTCGCATCGACGCAATCTTTTGCCATTTTTATTCTTACTCATGAATATTTTTGCCATTTTTTTGTATGTTTGTTAATCACTGTACCGTAAATATGGTCAAGATGTGCCCTTGTTATTTTTTAATCTTCATTTTCTGTTCAACCTCACGTGTGCTTTTATTATTTTCATTTATGACATCATAGTCATGTAGCTTCACTTCAGACAATATTTGGCAATGATCTATAATAAAACATTCCATGGAGGTTGATCATATACGGGTTGTCTTAATGCGCTCATATCTAAACTCTCTTCAGTATGTGCGGCGATACATATTTTTCTGTAATTCATCACGGTGGACAGCACACTTTAATTTCCTGTTCTGTTAGGACCTTTTTAATGTGTTCAAGAGACTGGGGTCTGAAATATGCCTTTCCTACCATGCTTTTAATGGATTAAGTGCCTCACTTTGTTTTTAGCGCAGGAAAGGTGAGGTCGTCGATTGTTATGCAGAAGAAAGACGACTGCATTTCAGTAGCCAGTCAGAGAGCAACAATGAATCAATATCCATCAGGATTTTCTTGGGAGACGCAGATTTATATAAGACCCTGTACCCACAAAGACCTGTTAAGAGCATAAGAGCAGAGATGTTGAGCACAAAATATTTCTCTTTTAGTTACCAAGGCAACACAAAGGTACAAATCAGAAGCTGTGACTTCTGCTGGGGTTTAATTGTTTCATTAGACATGGTAATTAAAGTATGCCTGACTATAAACGAGGACGTCTAATATGCTATTGTTCGAGAACAAGTACAATGTTTGAAATCCTGACTAAGAACAAAAGCATCAACTTCTGTTTGCATGCAACATAAAAACTGACAGATTGATCATATGACAACACATCATGCATGTCTACAAATAGTGTGAAGGTGGTGACTTGTTTTAAAGGATAACATTAAAATGCAGACTAATCATTGAAGCAAATATGAATGTTCAATTCGGTTTCAGGTTCATCTGATGTTTTCAGTTTTGTTGGATCCCCTCACACTGACAGCCATTTAGAGCAACAAAGTGACCTGAAGTCAATCATTTTCAATGGCAATTTCAAGCTTCATGGGTTACAGTGACAGTGTTTTGAAGAGATTTGATGCAAAAACAGTTGGTAAAAGTTTATGCAACTGAGCAGCAAATACACCAGTGGTCACTTTTAACTGAATCATTGTTTTTTGTTTTTTACAGTCAGTACATCTCATTTGTGTTTTGATTTTTAAATGCTTTGAATACTTAATGTATACAGGTCATCACTGAAATCACCCAGCAATACGAACACCTAACTACAGTGACCTCTAGCAATAAAGTCACTATGAACAAGCATTTTTTTTCTTTCCAGGTGCTGACCGTAAGTCCATATGTATAAAAAGAGCTGTTAGATCACACCAACCCATTCTTATGATTTCCAGGTGGTGGAGGTAGCAGTGAAAGAGATTTGCAAGATGCTGCAAGAACGAGCAACATTGTGATCTTTTTCTTCTTTTTTAACAATTGATGGGTGAATTTACTAAGTGCCACTTTTGTGTGTACTGTGGTATTTGAGCATCTTTTTCACTAACCACCCAGAATCCAGTCTAACCAGGTGCAAAATGTGCTGAAATAGTGCTGTTAAATTTTCATTGTCATTTATTTTGTAAAGTATACAAGCTCACACAAATCTGTGATACTCTACCGCAATTAATGCATGCTTTTGTGGCCATGTTTGCATGGTTACCTAATTTGCATAATTTAGTTTGATTTTCCTAGTGAATTCCTCCCTGAGGTTTTGCTTTTATTTACTTTTTTGAACAAACTGCCCTAAAAGATGACTAATTCCTCCAAAGAGAGTGAAAAACTCAATACTTGAAAATCATTTACTGTGTGTCTAAAAAGGAGCGATACTAGCAGTCTTTATTTATAGTGCAAAAAAATAAAGCGCTTAGTGCAATTGAAATACAATTTTTTTTTTTAAACATTTACTCTTTATATACGATTCCTCACATATCAACACACGTCTACTCAATCAATCAAAGACCAGTTTCTCAATTGGAAGCCCCCCCCCCCCCCCCCC